TCACCATCATTTGACTTGATCTGCCGTCACTACACATTGTTTACAGTCAGTAGACATCATTTACCTTCACTTGCTTCCTTGGACAGTGTCTTTTATGTCTATTCTTTCATCTTTCATCGTGTACTAAAAACTAATACACGTCATTAAGTTGAAGAAAGACTAATGACAGGGAGGGAATTTCTAAGGATGGCAAAGAAAGTGACGGGAATAATGTCTATTGATGGGAATCATGCATCTAGGAGGGAGTGGTGTCTGAAGACAGGAGTGATACCCTGGTCTGATGATGGGGAACGCTACAAATGACAAGGTAGTCTCCCTTGCAGCCCTTTCCGGCGTCGTCACGCAAGCGAAAACTCCCTCACCAACGGCTGCTCACATTCGAACAACATTCCTTTCCCATTGTAATGTGATACAATGAATATATGAAGTTCATATATTTTGAACTGCGGTACTAGATAAGTATGATGCACGATCCTCGTATAGCGCTCTCTACTACGAGGATCGTGCATCATACGTACAACTCAGATACAATGAAATATATGAAGTTCATATATTTTGAACTGCGGTATTTGAACTGCATCATACGTATCTAATACCGCAGTTCAAAATATATGAACTTCATATATTTCATTGTATCTGAGTTGTACGTATGATGCACGATCCTCGTAGTAGAGAGCGCTATACGAGGATCGTGCATCATACTTATCTAGTACCGCAGTTCAAAATATATGAACTTCATATATTCATTGTATCACATTACAATGGGAAAGGAATGTTGTTCGAATGTGAGCAGCCGTTGGTGAGGGAGTTTTCGCTTGCGTGACGACGCCGGAAAGGGCTGCAAGGGAGACTACCTTGTCATTTGTAGCGTTCCCCATCATCAGACCAGGGTATCACTCCTGTCTTCAGACACCACTCCCTCCTAGATGCATGATTCCCATCAATAGACATTATTCCCGTCACTTTCTTTGCCATCCTTAGAAATTCCCTCCCTGTCATTAGTCTTTCTTCAACTTAATGACGTGTATTAGTTTTTAGTACACGATGAAAGATGAAAGAATAGACATAAAAGACACTGTCCAAGGAAGCAAGTGAAGGTAAATGATGTCTACTGACTGTAAACAATGTGTAGTGACGGCAGATCAAGTCAAATGATGGTGAATGATATTCAACAACGGTGATAGATTTAAACACAACGATTATATGAAAGACATATATCTTAACTACGGTTATGAAACGTAAATGTGCAAAATCCTCGCAGTAAAGCACTATTTAAGCAATAGTGAAAATCGGGCCTGTACGGGATTCGAACCACTGACCTCTGCGATACTAGTGCAGCGCTCTACCAGTTGGTTTGTTAGCTCAATTGGTAGAATGCTGCACTAGTATCGCAGAGGTCAGTGGTTCGAATCCCGTACACGCCTGAAATTTTTTAGGCCTGATTTTCACTATTGCTTAAATAGTGCTTTACTGCGAGGATCGTGCATATATACGGTGATAGATTTGTTGTAACAGCGTATGATGTTGATTAATGGCAACGATGCCTTAGGATGGTGGATAGTGATGTTCAGTGACGGCAGATGATGTCTAACGTCGGCCCTAAGTATGATTTTTAGTGACGAGGATTGGTGGCCAAGGATACTTGATGATACTGAATGATTTCCGATTTTTCAGCCAAATGATGGAAATGAATCAGTAAAGTAACGGGTAACGATGGGTTATGACTGCATTATTTTTCATACACAGACCTTCCCACGCTCGTGACAAAGACAGAAAACATCTTTCTTTACTTTTGGACTCTTTCAAAACACGGCCTGATGCTAAATCATTCATATGAAAGTGAGTTAAATGATGAGCACCAGGACTCGCTTTGAAAAAGAGACAAAGATAATTTGGAAATAAGCCGAAGAATAACGGTCACATGACAAGTTTAACCAATTGCGGACAAGCAAAGGTATCCCTTTAGTGAGCAATAAGTGCGTATATTTGTAGGTTGAGGCTACGTTAACACTGTGGACATAATAACTTCAGGTAGCATAGGAAATAAAGCGGTCTCCTGCTTTAGATTTGCATTTTTCATGATGTTTTAGCTTAGTCGATTTCCTCCACCTTGGAAAATGCACAGGAAATGGAGACTGGCACGAGCGGAAGCGCCAAACCGGAACAATCCCTTGCGCGCTTCCAGATGTTGTCTGTGATAGCCGTAAAGCAAATATGGCGGCTAATGCAATGGAAACCGATGACTTAGGCCATTTACCTTCAAGTACCCTACGAAGATCAAATTCAGCTCCTAATGTGAGCGCTGCTGTAGTGAGTGAGGCCATTCCTATATTTCAGCCACTGCAGACTGCAAGGCAGCGTCGATTTTCGACGAGTCAAATGGCTGTGAACATTGTAAGTAAAAATTCCGCGAAAAATGTCAAGAAAGAATTTCCTATTTTGGGCTACATTTTGCAGTTCTAAGCAGCTGTGTGTTCTCTTCTGCTGTAATTATTTTTCAGGGATCTCCTGCATCAAGAATAGCACAGATCAAAAGGGTATATTTTATTTTATTTTTTTTTTGTTCTGTAGAATAACTTCTTGTAACGACTTTGTACTTCGTCTTGTTATCAATTCATGCTGAGTTCTAAATTAGTACATTCTCTGTAAATGATGCTGTATCTTCAAGCATTTATAATGCTATCAAAAAGGCTTTGGTTGAGCCCTTAATCGTGATAAGGTAAGGAGAAAAATTATTGTATTTCATTGTAACTTTCATAGGAAGAGCTAGAAAGTATGGACGAGGCAAGTCGGGAGAGACAAATTGAAAGGTAAGTCGCACAGTAAGTAAATGCTTGGCAGCTAAACTCTTATAATTTGTTTTCATTCATTCTTATTTTTATAGATGTGATAACTTCGCATGAGGAGATTCGTACTTCTCTTCTGAGCATTTTTTTCTACATCGTTACTGACGGGCTTGTTTGTATGCTGTATTTGTGTTAGATCGATGATCACGCTTGACTTACGCGAGATTAGAGTGGAATTTAAGATAACAGCAAACTTAGTAGAAGTATTTACAATCCGGCGACTTTTCGTTCTGTCTGTTCTATTGTTACGCTAGACGTCTTTTGAATTTCAGTAGCCAGAAAGTAGAATATTCCCATAAGATTTATTTTGTGACATTCTTAGATATTGCCCTTGGTTAATTTTCATTTACACTGTATTTACCTTAAATGCTACCAAGTCGTACCTGATGGAAGTCAGACACATCGTTCGTTATTTCTAACAAAATATCTAAAGCTTCAAATTACTAAAAAATCCATAACAATTATAGTCTTTTGAAATAAAGTTTATATTACTGAAATCATTTCACATACATTTGACAAGCAATTAACGTCTTCAATTTTCATAAAATATTTATATCCTGTTTAAAGTTTTTTAATTCCTCTCTGTAGACCAGACTACCTGGGTGCAAATCTAATTGAGTGCATTGGCACAACATTGTGTCTAACATATCCAGAATTTCACTGCAGCATCAATTTTCTGCCTCCTTGGCTCTGAACTTTTTTCTCCGAAATTACTAGTACCTGATTCTGAAATTATGAGTCATTTGTGAAAGTATTAATAAAATGAAAAAATTATCGAAAAACTAATTTTGTCTCACACATGATGATATTTGCTGCAAAATAATGGATGTTTTGGTTAGAAATTCATGATGAGAGTCTCCTTACATACCACAGAGCCATAACTCTAGGCATCAATTTAACCTGTACATGGCAGGGTTTTTTAAGGAGTCAGTCAGTTTTATTATAGATTTTTATCCCTTTATGGATCAGGAGAAGTTTTGAATGGAGGGTAATGTGAAATTTTTTTCATGTGATTCATAAGTTTTCTCTTAAATTTGAATAATTCTATAGAGAAAATAATGACTGTTTCTTATTAATTATAAGTTTCGGACAAAAGATGAAATACTTTGCAAACTACTATTACTATTTGTTTTGCTTATTTCCACAGTGAACTATCTCTTACAATTGGAATGCATGATCACATGACTTTAATGGTGAGTCTTGTGAGAAGTGACAGTCTTTTATTTAGGAATATCCATTCTTATTTTAAATTTTTTGTCATTCTTTATTATTTTGATGTGTTATTGCATGTTGAAGTAATGAAATACTTAACTGACTCTGAATAATTCCTTAATAATTTTCTCTGATATTTATAGCATATGTAGTGAGGGGAATTTAAAATCTGGAGGCTTTGTGCATTGCATGGGCCTCAGAATAGTCTTGTTTACCATTACCAAAAACATTGGGGACTTTAAGCAGTCAGGACGGCAACACCACGGAAGGCGTCGATTAAAAAATGAGTTTCTACTTTTAGTTAGAATTTCGAAAATGGCTGCATGTGTTTGCCGTCTCATAGGGCGCCAGACCTCAAACTCAACATAACGCATAAAAGTAGCGTTGAGTTCTAAATGTAGATTAAAATAATTTGTCGCTGCGGTTTCACTTCGCAGACAACACAAATTTTGGTGATTTCACATTGTTGTTTTGCAAAGGACGGCTACGAAATGTACAAAGTTTTAAAACGCACATGCTGGGCTATTGTTCTGCCAATTCGATCTATTGTTTTTCCACGATCTCGTTGCCGTAGCCGTCGTCGTTTGCGTAAAGTCCCTATTATCTGAGAAAAAGTGTGTAATGATTATTCTGAACAGCTTGATGGCTTTACAATTGAAGGTCTGTAACTGATCCAAGTTCTCATTTCCGCAAAGCAGTAAAAGGAAATAGGACAAGTATAGAAAAAGAGATACTCCTTGAGGATAAATCACAGTTCAACCTTTAAATCATTGATCAACATTTTGAAAGCTTTCACATTTCTGTAGGGTGACTTCTCTAACCATAAAAACAACTATGTTTATTTTACTTCTTCTTTACAGGATCATGATAAAAACCATGATGCAGACATGCATGAACGACGCAACTCCTTTGATGACCACAGACATCCATTCCCATCACCATCATCGTTATCATCGTCACCAACAAACAATCAGAGGGTCAGAATCTATGATAATATTTCAATTCAAATGTTTCTAAACCAGTGTATAAATGATCAAATCGTTTAGCTTGATTATCCAGGGTAGAGTTATCCTGAAAAGAGAAGCTGATGTTTTGATGGTTTGAGCAGAATTCATAATCAGAGTCAAGATTGTATTTGATGTCAGTCCTTTTGAATGACAGTAGTCCTTTCCATGATGTCACTTACCGAGACAGTCATAATACATCAACAAACTACTGAAGTGTAATCTAGACAAAATGTTCAGGATATGTGTCTCTAAGTAATGTATTCTCCAGGTTCTCAGAGATTTGACTGAGCACTTGATTTTTGAAAAAACTACTGTACTGGATTGTTGATACAATGCAATTATACGTATGATGCAATTATATTTGATGACCAGTGTTTACAAAAGGTTATATATTTATTGTCAAAAACAATCCATTTTCACAAAAGGCCCCAATAGTTTGTACTCTCAGTGAACTGTAGTAATCTGTCTACAAATTCAGTACAAAAAGCTGGTCTTCCGGCCTTCTCTAGTTTTGAATATGGAATGAAAAATTGGCCAATGTACTGACAAAAAACTATGCTAGACTGTACTTGGATATGTATACCAGTGACTATATTGACTATAAGCAGTCTCTTCTTTTTGGCAAAGTCTGTTGCACGAGTCAAAAAAAAGAAAATGAGTGATGTTAGTTATCCTGTGAGCAGTCCTCGAATCAAAAAGGGAAAAAGACTCTGCCAACATCCTGTTGTTGCTTGTTTGAACATGTGCGGCGGTTGCCTAGAAACTGATCCTTTTCCAGGCCCCCTTGAACTATTGTGGGCGCAGATTTGGTCATCTGTGTACATGAAAAACAAAGGCGTGTGCACCAAAACCGGTTTGACTGGGGGCAAAACCGGCTTGAGTAGCCCGGAGTTTTGGGCTTTCGGCATTTCAAAGCAACAACAGGATGTTGGCAGAGCCTTTTCCCTTGGATGGTTCAAAAGAAGAGAAGAAGAAAAGGCTCTGCTCGCAGGGTAGATGTTAGTATGCCAGGGGAGCTCTTAAAGTGGACTATAATTATTCTAGTCTTAGCCTAGTGACTATAATTTAGCTGTAGTTTTTATTTTTGAAAAAAAAAAAACAATTATTTTTTGCTTTCAGGGGATGAGGAACGCAAGAAGCCTCACTCCAAGTCCTATACCAAGTCCTACTAGAACAACATTCACGTAAGCTGAAAGAGTTGTGATGTTGTTTTTTTGTCACTTCTAAATTTTGTGCATGATTTGTAACTTAAGGTTGATTAATTTTTTTATACCAATTTGCAGGCGTAGAAGTCTCAGCCCTGTATATTTTAGACCAAGTACCTTGACACTGAAAAGAAAATGTAGGTTAACACATTGTGATGTTGCTAACCATGGGGTATTTATAAAAAAATTTTATTTAGTGACATTGTTATCATGACTAAACGGCACAAAGTATTTTACATCAGAATTTTCTTGTATTTAGGGCCATCAGAAGGCTTTGAGCCTGGAGTCAGTCCATCAAAACGTCTCTGTGATGTGTCACCACTCAACTGCTCTCCAAACGGTCCAGTTGAATCAGAGCATATAAACTTTGAGGAGGTAAATAATATTCATGAGGATCCTGGCAGCTCTTCAGCTTCAGATGCCTCGACATCATCGTCAACTGCTACTCCAATGCTCTTTGGAGAGTTACCAAGACAACCATTGTACCGTTCAAAATTTACTCCCCCAAGATCACCTCTGGCAGGTCCATCAACAACCCAAAGCCTCCCAAGAACACTAGGGAATTCACCATCTTGTTTCACCTTTTCTCCTGTTCAAGATTAATGAGAGCACAAGTTGAGAGATACATTTAGGTATCTATTTCTATTTTGTAATTTTTGTTTTCCTGATTCCTTTTGGGGTACATCTATTTCCAAGAGCTGTATGATGGTTAGGTAGAACAGTCAAGTAAATTTGAAATCTTAAGATTAGGGGTTCGTGATAGTGAATTTACCTCTGAGGTCCAAACATCAGTGTACTAAGCTTTTAAATACCACTTATGAAAAAAGAGGAAAGGGTTGTATATTTGTACATTTAAGTCTTAAAAAGATAGCCAGAGTGAAGAGCTGCTGAGTTAATGAGGGAGTGAAAAATAGAAAAATGAAAGGGTCTGATTTATGTTTAGTGTTTCACATACTAATCATTAGGTACAAGCTTCATACCACTGTTTGAGAAAAGAGGATACTCAAAAAATGTAGAAAAAACTTTTTTCTTACTAACATCCTATATTGATTTTTTACCCTCAGGTTTATTTTTCTATCCCAAAAATAAATGAACATACAGTATTTTAGAGCTTTATAAGAGTACATAGATCCATTTTCACAATGGCAATAGATAAATATTAGAACACTTGCCATTTTGTACATTTATTATAAGATAGTTTGACCAAATATAGAGTTAGGTAGTCATCATCGTAGGATGGTAAAAATCAATTTGATAGTCACTCTAAACATATATTCCAAGAGTGTTGGAACCTTACAATATGCAAGATTGGTCTCCAGGATTATTTGATTGTCATGTAAATTTACTTTAAGTTTGTGGATGTTTTTTCCCCCTCTAATTTGTAGATAAATTATTTTGAAACTTTGTGTTCAAATCACCTTAGGGTCCAACATGTATTTTTTCTACCTCTAACACCTGTGTCAAGGAAATTTTAACCATAACTTACCATTATGTTGAGTTGAATATTTTGATTTTGGACATTGGCACAGACTGCTCTTGTACTTATAGTTTCAGCACAGGTTAATTCATAAGTAGAATGTACAGAACTGTACAGCTGTAGGGGTTCCAGTAAGTTTTGAGTTACATGGGAAAAAACTGCAAAGTAGGTTTCTACTGGAAGTTTGATCTTTACTCAAATGTTAATTTAATTTCAGGGAAAATAGAAGATGATTTTGCTTGACAAAAACAGCTAATTTTGCTCTTGTTGAAACCCATGCAGCTGTGCTTTTGGAGTGCAGTAGTTTCAGGTCATACAAGTGCCTATGTTGGATTTTGAAAAGATCAGATTATTGATTTGCCTTGTCATGAGTTGCAGTTGAAGTTTCTCAACCATTCAGTTACTGTGTTTAGTTTCTAAACAAAGATTTTATCTGAGGTGATCACTTAAAATTTTAATATTCTAATTAATAGCTATAGCCATGTGAAATGTAAATGTTCAGTGACTTTCAGTGATTACAACATCTTTGAACTAGTCAGAGGGAAAACTCTTATTTTCCCATACCTAGTACAAGCAAGACTGAAAAATCATCCAACAAAGGCACTTGTTGAAATCAAATCTGTGAAAATTTTGGTTGTTCTTATGAAGTATTGTCTTGCATAAAACTCCCAGCTCATTTTGCATGTATGAATGTGAAAGATAAGTAGTCTCGTTGATTCATGAGTGGATTTTATTTGGTGATCTTGACCTGGTTGGGAATGGTCCTCAACAGGGGTGTTGGTGGGATGACCGGCCTTTTTTCGGTTGTGGGAACCGCTGATTTGAGTTTTCTAAAGACTCATCTTGAGGGCCTTGTTGGTTAGGTAGATTTTATGAGATGTACATATCCAGAATGGACTATATGGCATTCATCTGATCATAGCCTTTATTCCTGGCTTTGAAATGTTTCCCTGTATTTACCATCTTTTTTTTTAAAAGTACTAATCCCCCAAGATGTTTCAGTTTGGTGAAGTAGATCTGTCATAACCAAGTTGTGTAAATATGATTAGCTGTAAATAGGAGTGGTAAAGAGCTATCGGGTTTTTTGCTTGTCCCAAGTTTTCCCTGACCAAGCAGTTTATTGAGCAGCAGGCCAGGCTAGAGTTGATAGATAGAAGTGATTTCAGTCAAACCTGTCACCTGTTTTCATCAGTGATGAACATGTAACAAACTTATGGGTCAGAGGCTGGTATCATGATATAATGCCAATGGATATTTTTATCAGCAATGGAAAGGAAATATGTAGAATGTGAAAGAGAAGATTGCAAATGAGCTCTTGGGTGTTGAAGGATAAAATGCTTTGTTAATACACCTATTGACTGGGAAGTAGGGCTGGATAGGAAATTGTTCTCTCAAGAACATGATGTATGGAACGAGAGCAAATATTTCCCTCTCAGCCTAACTTATATCAACCAATAAGTGTTTTATTGTATGACTGGGGCTGGTTTTTTTTCTTGCAACTTTTCTTTTAGCCTATTTCTTACAAGGTCATTATGCATTTTCCAGTCCTACTTGTGATATCACTACCATCAGTTCTCATACAGGGACTTTGCAATTATGTTTTTTTTTTAACAAAAGTGTACACAGGGCTGTATGGGCCTTATGATAAATTTACCTTGTACATTATCTATTCATTTTCAGTCGGCAATTTCATTCTTTTCTCAAGTCTGGATAACATTCTCAAAGCTTGCAAGTTCATTTAGTCATTATTACTTTCAAGTGCCAAATTCACAGTCATGGTATTGTAATATCCATAGCGTACATGTATGTGGCAAGATCTATGTAGCACCAGTTTTTATAGTCAATTTTTATGGCTAAGAATACTACATGTAACTGCAACAGTTAGGACCATTTAAATGTGTAATGCTATTGTCTTTAACTACTGATAGCTTAAATTTTAAATTGTAAATAGCTCTCAGAATATTCATTTCCTACAAGTAACTGACATCATTCATAGAATAAACACTTCAAAAGTATTTTACTGTTTTTTTTTTGGCTTAAATTTTGACTGTAATGTCCCTCAGATGCTCTTAACCCTTATAAACAACTGACATCTAATTTCTCCCTACAGACCACCCCTAAATCAAACATTAAGGGCACAATAATAAAGAAAATGATCTGCTACTAAAGAAGCTTTTGATTGTTCAACAAATTCTTGTTAGTGCCCCAAGAAATGACTGAAGAACAGTATGGAGAATATCCATAGTGATGCAGTGTAAAGGATTACTTGATTGCCAAGTTTGGTACTAGATTTCCTTGTGATCGACTTTCATTTCCTGGTACAAACACACTTGCACATCCATGTTTCAGCTGGCCATGGTGAAAGACTTGAAATTAATAACTTGTGAATGAGATAATTTGTCTACACCTTCTTAACCAAGAAAGTTGGCATTAACAGGCCCCAGGGAGTATGAAAGGATTGTTTAGGGTGGGTACTCCTCCAAGGCCAAGAAGAGTTATATGTTTAAAGTTTGGTGAGACCCAGTTACATCAAGATAAAAATTTTAGGACTGTTAATGTATACAGAAGTAGGCAAAGTCAGCAAAAGATGCTTTTATTTCACTGGAATTAAGATCCTTCAGGTTTTTTTTTATGTAAAGAGATTACAGAAGAGATTGACTGGAGCAGATGACTAAGTATTCACATGATGGGAGGTACTACTCCAAAAACCATTTTCTAAACTATAGAATTAAAAAAGTTTGCAAATTCTCACATTCCCTTTCTAACTTTCTATCACATGTTTCTTAGACAAGCGAAAGCAAAAAAACTCCAGGAAAAATATTCACCACACTTAAATAACACTGGTTAATTTATGATCAATCAGATGATCAGAAATTAGATGGAAAAAACTGGTTGTAAGTTGAATGAATGTAGTTTAGTACACTGCTTCACAAGCAGACATGCTCTCCTTCTGTGTGAGGATATCAGATGAGACCATCTTGAGAAATGAACTGGAGTGCATATGAGAGATAAATGAACAAGGTCTCCCTACTTACAATAAAAGCATTCTCAGTTCTTGGAAAGCAAAGTTCTCTCTAATAATAGTTGCTACCCAGCATTTTACTGTTACCAGAAGAAGATATTTGTATGCAAAGTTGTCTTGATAACAGTCACCTCATTTTCATTATTTTACATATTTTTGCATGAATTTCTTGTGGAATTCTGAACGTAAGGTGTCGTTGATGAAGTGTTGTTCCTATAAAAGGACAAACAAGAACAAAAGTAAAAATCATAACTACAATAACTATTAACATAATACACAATAATTATTCAAAGAAGAGAATTGTCAAGTCCATGATTTCTCTGTACCCAAGTCAGAGGCTCTCAAGCAAGAGATCAATTGAACTTCACTGTCACTGTCTTGAAGAGAACTTTGAGGGTGTGTCAATGAGGAGAATAGGGACCTTAAGAAACCACGACGGCGACACCAAGGAAGACTTCGATTAAAAAATGAATTTCTACTCTTAGTTAGAATTTTAAAAATGGCTGCAGGAGCTTACTGTCTCATACAGCCCTATGGCTCGACTTCAGCATGATGTATAAAGTAGCCGTTGAGTTCCAAATGGAAGTTAAAATAATTTGCCGTCGCGGTTTCGGTTCTCAGACTAAGCAAATTTTGGCTATTTCAAGTTGTTGTTTTGCATAGGACGGCTAAGAAATGTACAAAGTTTCAAAACGCACGTGCTGAGCTGTTGTTCTGCCAATTAGATCTCTTGTTTTTCCATGTCCTCGTTGCCGTCGCCATTGTGGTTTCTTAAGGTCCCTAATATCAATGAGTACACTTACTGAATGTTCTTACTGAACATAGGCTATATGTGTACCATGTCATAAAAATATTTTCAACAAATAACTCTCTCCATAATTCAGAAAACAGATGATGAGTAGAATACCCCATCACCGAGGGAGTGTTATTCTGAAGATACCAAATTCATTCAGTTAATTTAAAGGAAAATGTACACCAGAGGAGGAAATTACTAAACAGGTGTTGCCAATTCTAGAGACAAATAATTTTGAGAGTATGCATCTCACCTTTTTTCCATCCTCTCCTTTTGCACAGTTCTTGAATACAACATCATCGTCCCATCTTAATATATGAAAAACCAACATGATAAAGTTAGGTTCCACAATGGATATAGTGATTTTAAAGAATAAACAAACAATGCATACAAATAAGCCAAACACTTGAATTAGAGAAATTCACTGCCAATGTCATGATTTTATCATCACCACTGAATACCTCCTCTTCACTTTGAAATTGTTCTGTGCACTGAGTAAAGGATTTCCTGTCATGATATTTTCCATTCTTATTCGTTCCTCTTCTTCTTTCTTTTCTCTCTCCTGCCATACAACACACCACCATTGCATAAGGTGAAACTATGAAATATAATCTCTTCAAAGAGTTTTGTCATAATTCAAATAATTATGGATTGTTACGTCGAGCAGCACAACCAATAAAGTTTTGGATAGTTAGTAGTGCATGATTATGTTCTGCAGAAAATATACAGTATTCTACAGATTACCTCCACATTAGCCTGTTCCAGGCTTTAACCCATTAACGTCCAGTGCACCCGTATGCGCCCATGGGGACCCACACCCTTTCTATGCCCTGTGACGTCATCAATTTTAACCCTGGAGCACGAATTCGAGCATCTACTTGAACGGGTTGAAAATATCTTGCAGACGATACCAGAATGAGCGCAATTGAGTGGAGGAGATTGGAGAAATAGCCAAAAAACCGTGTCACTTTGACCGGAAAATCTGCACGAAGATCGTGTTTCACTACCCACCTACCTTTCCGAGCATGTGCTTTGAAAATAATGAGTAGTTTCTGAAAAATCTCTACACCAAAATGAAGCCTACTCAATTTCCAGCAAGTGAGGAGAAACTTTAGGCAAGGAGAGGGGAAAAAAAGGGCAGGAGAAAGAGAGAAAAGTAGAAGTCGTAAGTGGGGC